GAGGGCCGGGCTGTGGAGCCCAGCATGGGGTCCCGGCGGCACAGCTGGTGGGAGCGCTGAGCTTGCTGTGCCCCCCGTCCCCGCTGGCAGCGCGCAGGGGCGGGCAGGCTGCTGTTAAAGCATCGAGCCTCATGCTCCTCTTCTTTGCGCTCTGGTCTCGCCGCGCTCAAAGGTTGTAGGCGTCTTGGGGTCCTGACGGGGCAGCGTCGTGGTTTGTGCGGTCTTGGAAGGAGAAAAGAGGTTTTCTGGTTTAGACGAGGGGAGGAAAAGCTGACTGTCTCACCTTCCCTTGAGTTTCACCCCGTAAAAGACTAAAACACGTCTACTAATTGCCCTTTGTTTTGCCCTTTTCACAGAATCCTCCAAATCGTGGCTCTTCCTTTGGTTTCTCAGTGTTTAATTTGATGAATGCAATCATGGGAAGTGGGATACTTGGCTTATCCTATGCTATGGCCAACACAGGGATCTTTGGGTTTAGGTAAGTCTGGTTTTTATGTACACCGATTTTTAAACTCAGCTTGTAGTTTTAAATGGGCCAGAACTTGATTACTAAGACTGCTGTGCAAAAGCTGAGGAAGAAATAAGTAGTTGGTGCTTTTCAGCATTGTTGAATAGGATCTTCCCTCTTTGGTTTAGTCATTCAGATCTGGCCCAACGTTAGTCCTGCTCAGACGTTGCATTAAATTGCCACATGGTGGCAATTTCTTGGCCATTACTCTTAATAGATTTATATTTATGTTTCAAAGCTGCTGTCTCCCTTAGATCCAGAAATGGGCCTTCTGAAGTCAGGTGGCTAGGGAACCAAACATTTGAATCAGCTTGTGCTTTTGTTTGCACTTCTGCTTGTTGTACAAACTAACCTGTAGATAATGAGTCCAAAGTCACCAGAAGTGTCAAGTTTTGTAATTTTCTGAGTGTTAGATTTACTTTGTTAGAAGATTTGTATTTGTTTGTGTATGTATACACACAAACTCTTATGTTTTATGTCCTCTTTGTGATACTGTGTAAAATGGATGTGCTTCCCCAAACCCTGTAAGCAGCAGTGGAACTTAGCAAATCATGGGAAGGTCAGAGACCTTATGAGCCACAGTCAGCAGATACAAGCCATAAAATGAGGAAATCTTGTCTTGTGGTAGTTTGCTTCTTGCATGAGTAGCATTCTTAAAGATGGAAAGTGCAACAGACTGTAAAAGTGCTTTAATTGTGATTATTTCGTGGGTTTGTTGTTTGTTTTTTTTTTTAGTATCTTGCTGCTGATTGTTGCCAGCCTTGCTTCTTATTCTGTATTTCTTCTGCTCAGTTTGTGCACTCAGACTGGTAAGTGAAAAGGATTTATCTGTCAGTGATCTTTGAAATACTTCCTCACCTACATCACAAAGGCATGGCTCAGTATAATTATAATTAACAGTATGTTGGCACTTAGCCTCATCTGCTTCAGTGGTGCTGAAATATTTAACATTGGTAACAATTGCTGTTTGCCATTTAAAAATACAGTCAATGCCAAAGTGACTGGTTTCCAGTTTTTCATTTTTAATTTTTTTCAAAATGCCTCTCCTCTTTCAAAAAATAGATAGATCCTATATTTCTGTGGCATAATTAGTTTGATGCTGACTGGATGATGCTCTCAGTGAAGGCTTAAAAGCAATAAAATAGCACACTTTCATTCTTCTGCTTGTAATATATATTCTGCTTGTTGCTTGAAATGGGTATCTTTTAGGTTTTGTGATCGTACTGAATTATCATAATTCTCATAGGTGCAGGTTTTTACAGTATTTCTGGTGCTGAATAGAAGTCATGTTGCACTCCTTAGAAATGTCAGTGCTCTGAGACTGTTAAAACCCCAGATTCCAAATTCTGCAATCTGATCTGCTAGTGTATTAATTCATGCTTCCTTGCCTTGTTACTGAAAAAACTGACCAGTTCCTTGAGGGTTCATACACAAAGATCACGTTATAGCAGGAAGTCTCCATCTCTTTCAGTCACCTGGTTATTGTTTCCCTCTCATCTGTTTTCCTCTCTTTTTGAAGGTGGTGGGAGAAAGCTTCCATTTCCTTCCTTTTTGGCTTTGTTTTCTGTAGCTAGCTTTGGACTCTCAGATGGTTGCTTCCTGATTCTCCTTAGATCTTCTGCTCGTGTCTTCACCTGTTGAGTGATCTTCTTCGTTCATTCTAAAAAATATTCTTCAGAGGTAGGGTTGCTTATTGGTTGATATTGTTGGCTGCTTGATGATTTGGGACTAAGTCTTTGCTATTCTCTTTTTCTGTTCTTGGAAATCTGTGTATTAGAAAGGACTCAGAACCTTAAGTAAGTAGCTAGAAAGATAAATAAGCTCAAAATAAAAGGGAACTTGAGATATTTTTTTATGATCTTTATTTTCCTTATTTGAGGCTGAAAAGTTCTGTCTTATACAGGCACTAAGTGTTATGTTGTTGTCTGGTAAAATAATTAAAGAGATCCTTGCAAAAGAACTACTGGGCAGAGGGGAAAACTAAGGCTTGAAGATTTTGGAAGTCAGAAAAGTTTCAGTGTTATCAACTTAGAAACCTAACGTGCAAGAATGTCTTAACTCCTCAGTATTTGATCAAAGGCAGCAGTTTTAAAAATAAACACAGCTAAAATAAAGGAACACCAGTGGAACGACAGGATTAAGTTTCCTCTTGTCTGAAACTAGCACTTTACAGTTCATAATTAAGTTACCACTTATTGTTGACAGGTAGTACTAGCACCAGAACTGTCTAGTTAAGGCAGCTGGATTTATGGCCTGCTGTGTTTAATTTTTTTTTTTAATTATTATTACTAGTTTTTAAAAATACAATTTGCCTCAGATTATATTTACTATAAATCCTGTGAACTATTGAAATGTTTTAACGCTCCAACTTTTCTTTGAAGTTTTGTCTTTAAAAAGTGAGAAATATGTCCTGTTGTACCTTGACAAAGTAAAATCTGTGTACATCTTTGCTTCCAAAGTAGAGAATTGAACATTTTTCTTTAGAAAACCTACCTGCATTTGTGAACAATGCTATAGTATTAAGCTTAATCCATGGCAATGAACTGGAAGTAAATTTTAGTGATTTTATATTTAAATTCTTCTAGCTAATTTTTAAGGGTGGAGAAGAAAAACCCCTTTGAAAGTGTTTGTAAGCTATTCATTCAGGTATTAAAATAATAATATCCATCCTAGGAAAGAGCTGACCTCCAAAATCCCTTCCGAAAAGGAAACTAACCTTAATTCCATTTTAAACAGAGACCAGGATTCTTATGCACAGGCATTTTAGTTGTAGTTTAAAAATAAAGAAGTGTCTTTATTTTTAAATTGTGTTGGTCTGGACTTTGGCAAAATCAAATTATTTGTGTAGACCAAAATGTTCAGCAAAAACAATATTCCCAGGTGTCAAGTGTTAGATTTAGTTTAGTATAGTCAATCTTCTCTCCCAGAGTTAATTCATCACAGCCTATGTTGATTGGGCATTTGGGCTGAGAAATGAGAAGCTTACCCTGTAAAGCAGGGGGATGTACTTTGAAGTTTCATAGCTTTTAAAATTTATTTTAATTTTATGAGTTAGTCATGACTCTTGCTTGTACTATACTTGCCTATTTCACTTTGTATTTAAATGGATAATTTAAAAAATTGTTAATACCATAATAGAAGCCAAGCCAGTCAGTCAGAACTTGCTTATACCTATTGTGCTTAATATTTTGTTCCATATATTTCTGAAAATGCAAAAGTAATGTGATTAGGTATTAGAGCTTCCCAGTGTTCACAGGACTAACTTGATTACACAAACTGGGTTAAGAGAGAAAATATTCTAAGATTTTGTATTGCTGTTCTGGAATTGTGTGGAAAATGTCTTTGTTGGTAACTCCTCAGATGAGTGTGCTGCGTATTTGTTCCTGTATGATAAAACCAACTCTTTCCTAAATATGTTTAATGTTTTACTGATTATTTTTTTTAATGCCATTGGAAATAGCCTTTTAAAATGCCTTTTTTTTTTTCTTGTGATCAACAAATTTATAAATAGAAATGTAAAAAAAATACAGGGTAAAATCTAGTAAGGCATACTTCTTGTTTAATTATATCTGTGTATAACTTGGATCAGTGCAATGACAGATGTGAGATGAGTCCAGGTTTATGCTGAGAGGTGACTGGCTCATTTAATTTTGTCATTTAGCTTGCCATAGCATTTTGGTGTCAGTAGTAGAGCAGAATGTGAAATACCACCCTTGAGAAAATCCTATGAGAAGGTTAATGAAGAAGGTTTCTTTGATGTTCTGGTTTTGTTTTGGTTTTTTTTTTTCCTCTGGAGCATTCATCTGATTGTGTGCAGAAGTTCAGTGAAATAGAACCTCTCAAGCCTGGGCAGTTGGCAGTCTGAGGCTCCAGCCCCGTCACCTGATCCCTGTGTCTCCAAAGTCTCCTTTCATTTCACTTCACTTCAGGGACCTTGCTCAGGTGTGAAGGTCTGGCCCCTGCTGCTCAAGTTGCAGGGCTGGGCCCTAAGTTAGGATGTGACAGAAGTAGAAGCAGTGGTGTTGCAAGGAGAACCAAGGAAGAGAAAGCAAGTGTTGGGACAATAAAATTAGGTGGTTTGGAGTTTAATTTTACCCTCTGAGGCATTTATAGTTGCGGACTGTTTTATTATGCACTGAGAAAGTGAGTGGTATTTCTCAGAAAACTTTTATCTCTTTGGTATCACTGGAGTTTCTAGTAACAAAATACAGAGCAACAATGAAAGGCTTCAATATGACTTCCTTTTTTCTGGGAAGGAATTGGTTTGAGTTACCAGCAATATTAGAAATGAACTACAGCTAAAATTCAACTACAGCTTAAAGGAAACCACAGGCTATTTGAATGTGATTATGTAGGTCAGTTGCAGGTAGGGGCAGGATTTTTGTTTTGGTTTTGCTTCGGTGTGTTTTGGTTTGGTTTTTAGTAACAGATTTCAACATGGAAGGTGTTTCCCTTCAGTTTGCTTCACGGTAAATAGGGCTGAGTTTTTAAAAGCTGGCAGGCTGGTGGTTGATGTTTATATTCTTAGAAAGATGAAAATGGATCCTCTGTTGTTGTCTTAATTTAAAAAGAAAAGTACCCTTTTAACAAATAAAATATGGGAATAAGTTATATCTAATTTTTCAAGCTAAGTTCAGAATTCTCCACCTATAGTGTAACGTGCAGAAATCTTTGGGAGAGAGCAATTTGCCATTAGTGTTTTGTTATTATTTAAATATTAATATTTTGAATGTTGGGCTTCTGGAGAGTCTCTGAATGGTTGAGTGTATTTTGTAGCAGGAGTACAGGTGTGAATAAAGGCTTTTTTATAACAATAAATACTCTTTATTTGTGTCTTTAATGATATTCATTGAAAAAGGGGAAAAAAAGGCAAAGCTAGAGCTTCAAAATTATTTTGAAGTTAAGAATATTTTTAACTTTCTTTCCCTTACTACTAGCTGTCACATCTTATGAAGACCTTGGCTTATTTGCATTTGGATCAACTGGAAAGGTGAGTATTTTTACATACGAATTTTTCTTCTTGGTCTCATGCTTCTAATATGCAACTGTACTTTGCATAGTAAAGAGAAATAAATAAGTAGTAGAATTACAGACATCCCAGGATACTGAAAAATCCATTGCATCCTGAAGCTCTTTGCTATGTTTCAGTTATTGTGTCTGGTCTGTAGGAACCCAAACTTTAGTTAACTGTAAAATAGATATTCCTTAAACGCACGGTGTTGTGCTACTTTCCTGTCAGTGTGTCCATTTTTCAGTTGAATGTAGAAATATTGGCTCACTAGCATTGTTTTCAAGTTGGCCCACCAATCCATTTCAGGTTTGTTAGGGTCCCATCTTATGTCTGCTGTAAACTGTTAAGAGACAGGTAAGTGATTTACTGTTGGTGTTCTAGCATTTAATAAAGAACTGAGAGAAGTGTTTGCCTTCCATGTAGTTTCCACAGTAGGGACAAATAAGAGTATGTTTAATGCATGTTAATTTCTTTCGTTTAGTACACTTTTCAGATGACTGTGTCTTAATTAATTGTTTTATCTTATTTTTTTCAAAAAAAGCCCACCAGCAAACTAACAATTTTTGGTATAACAGGAATCAATGCCTTTTTAGTAGTGTGCACTGAACCTGTTTTTCCTAATAATAATAATATTGCCAGTAATACCTAGTGCGCAGGAAATTCTACTGGTGAATACTGCACATTTAATAATAAGGCTTCTATACTCTGTGCTTCACTAACATGATGCTAAAAGCAGATTTTACTACACAGGAGTGGGGTTTTCGTGGTTTATTGAAACACTGAATTTTTTTGAAAATCAGTACTGCTTAACAGACTAGAGTCTAATTACTTCTGTGTTAATGTAACTGAGAATTACATCTGAGCTATTAGGTGTTTGCAAGACTTCCATTAGCATTAATAAGCAGATAGGAGTGTAATCTGTGAGGATCAATACTTATCGATCAAAGTTAAGATGGGATCTACCTCAATAGATGAAAAACCTTAATATTAGCAAGGTATGAAATAAACCTCTTTTTTTTTACTGAAGCTGTTCTGTGCACATTAAGCACAAGCTGTTAGACACACAAGTCCTAGAAATGTAGAACTTAAGGAGATATTAAAATGGGACTTAACCTGCCTTTGCTGTGAAGCAGGGCTAAACATACATAAGTATTCTTGGCAGATGTTTGTCTGATCTGTTATTTAAAAGCTTAAATGAAGAAGATTTCACAGCTGCACTATGTAGTCAACATCAGTAATTTTTTTAAATTCTCCCTAATGTACTTTTAAATAATTTTCAGTTTAAATAGTTTGTGATAAAAATAATCTGTTCCTATGTTTTCAGTTTTGATTGGAGAGCACTAGAGTATTTCTAGGTTGGGAAGCTGTTGTTTCAATTAATAATTAAGTTTACCAAGCTTTCCTGATGAACGGACATTTTGTGGAACACTTCATCTTTCTCTCACCTTTCTTAAAACTTGCCTGCAAAATGGAGCACAGTGAGCTGGCTGAGAACTTGGCAGTATTACCTATCTTTTAGATAGAGCATGGCTGGTACTATGTCCCAAAAGAAGATTTGCTGTTTCTGTGGGGGATTCATGCTCACTGACTATTTCTCTGCTTGCAGTCTAATAACTCTTTAAGTCATATACTCGAGGTCTGCTTCCTGAATTAATTGATTTTTAATTGCTCTTGTTGATTTTTTTTTTTAGACTTCACTAATTTAACACAAGCATTCTGAAATCTACTCCTGTCCCTGAATTCTCCTCACCTTAGCCAGGCACAGGTGGCTTAATTCTTTTTTTCTTTGAAGTAGTTCTTACTCTTTCCTCACTCGAGTCCCGCGCTCGTAGTATAGACCGAGCGCTGTAGACCTGGCTTGAGCGGCTTGTCTGAGGCTGATAGTAAACTTACTGGTTAACTGCTCTACTTGTTGAGCAGTTATCTCATGATGGTTTTCTGTTAAAAATATTCTCTTGAGATCTGTGAGAATGGAGATTTTCTGCTATTGGAAGATTTCTGATTCTCCTTTTCCAAAGACACGAAGCGTTTGTTTCCTTCTATGACTAATTCCAAGATACCACCCTTTTTGCTTTTTATTTCCCCCCCCAGCTCCCTTCCCCTGGTGACTTTTGAGCTAACTTTGAATTTGTTTAAAATATGATTTGATTTTCTAGCTGATCAATTGGAAAAATGGCAACTCTGTTTTCAGATTTTATTTAAAAGTACAGATTGGATTTTCTTTTTGTGCCTTAATTTTTTTTTCCCAAGTTGACTTAATGGCAGCACTCATGTGGGATGATCCTGCTACATCAAGAAGAGCACTGATTAGAAAGAAAAACTGTACTAGATGATCTATTTTAGAATTCAACTGAAAACTCTGGGAAAATATTAGACACTTTTAGGTTTTTTTTTTCAGTTGGATGTTAATTCTTTGGATTCAGACAAATATTTTAATATTCTTGTGATAATTTCTGCTTCTGTATTAGTCCAGTATGAATAATCACAATTGCTAAAGAAAAATCTATCTAGTTCACATTTAAAAGAATAGTGGCATTCATGACAGTTAAAAATATTCAGGGTTTTGGGGTGAGGAAATAGCTTGTACAAATCTTTGCTGTCTGTCTTTTCAGAGGTGAATTATTGCTTTAATTGGTACTTGCCTGATATCAGTTAGAATGCACTTACCCTTTTTCAGTGATTTAAAAACTTCATCTTCTGCAGAACAGGCTTCACTCTGTAACTTCTCTGGTTTTGTCATTTCAGTATGTCCAGGGAGATTTTTTGGTCTTTGTAATCATTTTAGATTGCATTGGTTTCCATGTGTTAAAGTCTTCAGTAAAGAGAAGATGCCCTTCCTTTCAATATTAGTTATCACTTCTACATCTGGTCTGTTTAAGATACTACATGTGTGTTTTATGACTGCTGTAGACATATGATTTTAGTTATCCTTGCCCTTTTTAAAGAAATCAATTCTTTTTTATAGGTCCTTGTTGCAATTACAATAATTATCCAGAATATTGGAGGTAAGAAACTTCATGTGCTCATTATTAACTGAATGCAGTATAACCTCTGCAGTCTACAAAGCTCCACAAACACCAAAGGCAATAATAAATGCAAGTGTTCTAAAGAGACCAATTAAAAGGACAGAAAACTTTCAGAAAAGCCTTATGTGATCATGCTAAGCAGAAGTGCTGTAGTCAGGGGGGACATACGAGGGGTTGGGGTACTGCATGGCTGGATGTGGAGCACATTCATTATAGCTGGCCTTGCTAACTGGGAGGGCCTGAGGAAGCATCTCCTCTAGGCTGTACCATACATTTAGATCTGGTAGCTACATTTTATCACATCATGTGTTTTGTCTTTTGCTGTTGGAACTTGCTTATGCATTTTAGTGATTTGTGTAACAACTGAGTACTTACTTAGCCATGAAGTTTCATATGTTCTTTATTAATGGTAGGATTTTTGTTGTAGTTCAGTATCATTTTATTATTTTATTTTTAAGAGGGTTGTTTATTTTCTGACTTTCATTGTGGGCTGATAATATGTGCTGTCATATGCTGGGCTGTCCAGTTATATTCTTATTTTATCTTCCTTGGTGCATGACATAATACAAAGACAGCTAGTGTTGTTTTATTAAAATAATAATCTAAGCATTTAGACTCCTACTCAGGTATGTTCACATATTTGGCAGTTATGAAGTAGTCATGTCCTTAGAAATTAGTTGTCTGAAAGTACAGTGTTTAACAGAACAATTTTACATTTTTTTGACCATAAGTGGTTTGGATACTTTGAGGAGTGAGGCAATTGTGTGAAAGCTCCCTCATCTCAATCCCCTGCTCTCAAGAAGATACACAAGTTCACAAACATAGAAGGAAACAGCATTCCAGTGCTGGTTATTTTTTTCTTTAGGATTACCTATCGAGTCTAGACAATTCACTGATTGCTGGGTTTTGTCACTATGTAGAGACCTAGAACTAGACCAAGTAACTGCTTTAATGATAAAACTAGAATATTTTGTTATATTAAAAGCTGCAATAATAAAAAGAAAATACTACAAAGCCCAAACGTTAATTTCAGGCAGGAATGAATGTATTAATTCCAAGATCAAGGATTATTTATTCACACAGATTTTAGAGAATGTTCTGTAGCAATGAACAGGGTTTTTTTAATTTCCTTTCCCTTTTGAGTGGACCTCTGAATAAACAGTAGTACAGAAGGAGGGATACATAGTACAGGTTCTGGAGACTGGGATCGTGTACAGGACTCTGTGGTCAAAGGAAATATGACTCTCATTTCTTCCTCATAGCAGTTCATAACCTTCTCTGTGTCATTTTTAATAAAATTCAGCTCAGTAACTCTAGAACCCCAAACTAGTGCTGGATATTATCAAACTAGTTATTCTGTCTTCTGCAGTGGACTTCTCTGCCAACAAGTCAGGCCTCGTTTGCCAACCATTGGTTTTCCGTTTAGCTCATTAAAAAGTAGGTATTTGCAAGTCGAAACTCTTCTTTTAAATGTTTTTTAGTGACCTCATTTTGATGGAAGCTTTCAAAGCTGTTTTGGTTCTTCTGGTTCCAAAGACAATATCTTTCATGTGAGAGAATGGTAGTAGTTCACACATCTGGTATGTTTGCTTGCAAAGATCATGTAGTTTCAAACAGGGAAAGCTGACATCTCTCCTCTGAGTCAGGGTTAGTGGCACCAACACATGCCCCAGTCTGTGAGGAAGGGTGATCCACTATGGAAACACAGGTTGCAAGTTAGGCCTCCTTGGCACCTTCTCCCATACAGAAGATGTGTTGTGCTATCATTGCACAGAGCTGTCGCAGCTTCTGTATAGTATTTGGATTTCTCTCCTGAACAACTGCCCCTGCCAGAGTCTCGGGATGCTGCAGTCCAAGTCAGCAGAGCAGCACTGTCAGGAATTGTCTTTGAAGATAACTCTACTGCTGGCTAACAGGCTCATAAAACAAAAAAAAATAATTATGGAGAGTTCTCTTCACCTCTCATCTCACTGAGCTCTGACTTGAAGAAGTGCGTAGAAAGAAATTTTCTTGTCTTTTGGGTCCTTATGCAGATTTTTTATGGGAGTGGTGAAACTGTGTATTTTGTCCTGAACAGGAGCCAGGTTGGAATTAAGTGCAAAATGAACCCACTCCCCTTAGTGCCCTTTGGTAGGTGTTCCCCTCTTTTTGTTCTTCTGTCCCTTTGAAGGAACCAGCAGCACTTGTGCCTGTTAGGCAGACATCCAGACTCTGTCAACGTCTCTAATTTCAGAGTAAGGCTAAAAATAAAATTGTTTTCTCTTACCTCCTCCATCATCAGACCTGGGCACGTTGCATCATCCGGTATCTGATTTCAAAAGTGATTGGAGAGCATGAGATAATGAATGACGGTTTGTGATTAAAATAAGCAGCTTTACTAGGGTTATTGTCACTGTCAGCATCTTGTCTGGGCTTTTAAAAAGTTTGGTCTCATCATTTCTAAAAATAATTTGAGTGCAGAAGTGATTTACATTTGTTTGTGGTAGAGAGAGGTTTTTAGTAATACTTTTAATATAGTTATGCTTTCTAATTTGTCATCATGCTTTTCTAAAAAGAAAGCCTAGGCTGCAAATTTGATTTAGACGTCCTAAGGGTATATGCTTATGGATTTCTACAGATAGGGGAATTGATTTTCCTACTAGCAGGATACCCAAAGAAAATCAGAGGATTTTTGTACAGCTACAGCAAGGCACTGGTTAATCAAATTTGGAAATTGAAAAGTTACAAAAAGATTTCAAATACATTGCCTGGAATTTTAACGTATCTTTAATGTGAGTACTCAGCTTTCCTGCAGATTTTTAGCTGTCTCTTGGAACACTTTGCGTTATGTTAATCCAAGTAACACAAATCAAATACCAAAATCCATGTAATTACAAAGGATTAACTGTGGATGCATCATGATGATGTTAACTTTGCACTACTCAAATGTAAATTAAGGTAATCTTAAATACTATGACTTACAGATTTATAGAATGTATACAAATTCTTAGTTTAGAGTGATTAAACTGAGAATGTTTGCCTAGCTTTCCTTCTGTCAATATGTATCTACTTATTCTTGCAATGTAGGTATTTGTTAAAGTGAAACAAAGAGGTTGAATGGGTTGGCCAGAACGGCTTGTTTTTATATAGCTGTTTGTCAGTGTTTTCAGCCAGTCCAGGAGCTATTTAAATAACTAGCGATCAGTTACATGGCAAGTGTCTTCTTCTTGACAGAGTTGGTTAGTGTGTCTGTGAGGTTACAAAGTGGACATTAGAAAGGAAGCAATCAGATTCCATGCTGCCAGGTCATTACTTTGTTCATCCACTCCCCCTCCCCGAGCCTTTCCGTTCACCCCAGGCCTGTAAGTGAGGTGGTCTTCCAAACGTCCGTTTCATGCCTGCCACGCAGGAGAAGATCTTGAAGGATTTCAGACCTTGTCGTGTGTCCTCCAAGGTGAGGGAGGGCCCTGGGGGAAGTTGCGCAGCTGGAGGTGCCGAAGGAGCAAGGGAGGCTGCCACGGAAAACGACGTGTTACATGGGTCTGCTGGCTCTTTATGTAATCCTTCCCAGGAGCAACGGGAGTTGGATGGAGTCCCTGCTATTGTTTTAATAGCCTTGTGCTTCTAGGAAGTGATGGATGAGGCACAGTGGGCCAAAGCCCTGGCTCGGCGGCACGCAGCCCTTCCCCCTCTCCTGCCAGGGAAGTTCTTTGAGCTTCCTAGATGTTTCCCAAAGGGGTGAAGGAAGACAGGAATTTCTACCCCTGCAGATGCGGCTGAAAAGGGGGACAGCCCAGAGCTGCCGTGCTTGAGAGAAAATAAGTAGGAATTTGAAAGCGTATGTAATGAAGCTAGACAAGGAATTATTTTAGCAAGCCTGGTGGAAAAATGGAGACAAGCACAATAAGGTATTGCACAAGAGCAGCTCCCCGCCTGTTGCCAACACTAACAAATCTTCAGCACTGAGGTCCAGCAGGAGACGTGGGGAGGTGCAGAGCGTTCTGCTGCGGGCTGGTATCAGCTGCAGGTCCTCGCTGCTCCCGGTGCCTGCGACACGCGGGACCTGCCGAGCGCGGGGTTAACGGTTTGAAATTTATTAGCAGTGGGGTTCAGTGCAGCAGTAGGACCTGCAGTACAGCCGTGGAGCTTAGGTGGTCTGCCTGAGTGTTCTTTCCAGCAGGCTTTTATTTTTTTTTCCTATTTCCTTCGATAGGCTGAGGTACACGGGGGAGTTCTGGTGCCGAGGATCCATCTGGGTAACGAGCCCGTCCTGGCTTGTGCCCAAATGACCATGACCATTGCTGTTCAGCGCTGAGCTTTCCAGACCTTAATTTTACAAAGAATTATTTGCCTTCTAATATAAATACAGTTTAATTAAGTATAGTTTCTGTAGCCGGTGCCTGTGGGTTCTGTTTCAATATTCTGCAGTTAACATGTCCTCAAAGGTACGTGTTTTCCTTCTTTGTAAGAGTAAGTCATGAGGAAAAAAAGATTGTTCCCTCTCCCTGGAGCACTGTTTATCCTCGGGCCTGCCTGAACGCCGTGCAATAAATAGAAGTTACAGGATTAGTTGTGACAGGAGATTCAGCCCTTTAGCTGGATTTTATGGCCTGTTAATACAGCCAACGTGATGGACAATGCACAGGAACCCGGCTATGACTGTAATACGTGTCACACATGCGTTTGCTTTCGGGTAGTTGGTGTTTTCCCAGCTCCCCGGAGCAACAACCCAAGAGGTGCAGGTCCCTGGGGCTGGAGCCGGGAGGGAGAGCGTGGGATGGGGGGCCCGCGGGCCCTCAGCGCCCCCTGCCGGCCCCGCCTGGAGCCTTGTTCCACACACACCTTTTTCTGCTTTATTTCCCCTTTTTCCTGCCTTACTTCCCTTTTTCTGTGAGGTAGACAGTGCAGTATTTAACTTCGGAATCTGCGTGCTTTCTGTGTGCATTTTTGTTTTGCACATATTTATCCCCCCCGCCCCCTCCCGAGTTCATCCATTCTGA